CTTCATTCTAATGAAGACTAAGAAAAAGCCAGTCAAAATACAATGCCTCAATGGTGCTTGTTACTCTTCCAAAAAATAAATAGGATTTGTATGCTGTCTGGTAAACAGGTGAAAATCTTCTAAAAGACAGCAACAACAAATCTTTAAAAGAATGTTGGTAAATAATCTAACAACATACATGAATTTCACAGACTTCCATGCCTGACAGTTACTGGTTCTGCGACTGTGGTCAAGTGAACTGACCTCTGGGACCTTAGGAATACCTCCTAAGTAGGCCTGTTGGGACAGTTAATTGGGATATTTGTAAAAAGCACTCCACAAAGGGACTGGCACCTAGAAGTCCCTCCATCATTCAAATGCCAAAGTCAGAGTCCAAGGGCTCTCTCTTAAATCATACTGCTTCTAACACTGTGAAGACAAAACTCACACATGTGAACAGGTTACTATAAGGATACACCACAGGTACTTCCATCCGTTAGCAAGCCCTAATTTTCCAAAACCATTTCCTCACTTCTTACTCAAAAGTTAAGAAGAAAACAGTCACGAAGCTTTTATTCTCACAAAACTTCGACAAGGACCACATATTTTATGTAAGTGGCATGTGTTATGACATATTACTGAGTGATTTTGCTCATCATTCTAACAGATGGTTATGTGAGTTTTTAATTTTTCTTTCAACATTCTGGCAAGGATGAAGGTCTTAATGTAAAAGTAAAATTAGTTTCCAGAAGTATCTAAAACCAAAAAATGAGTCCTTATACTTTTCCAATGAAAAGTACTCTTATTTTTAATTATCACAACTAAGCAGTTATTTTTGATATTATATGAATTGTTATCTTCAAAACAAAAAGGATATATCATTTAATTGGATAATATTGCCAAAACTCTTTCATTTTTTAAGTGATTAATTTGGGGTATTAGTTATTAATCTGACATTTTTAGATAGACCTGATGTGGCAGAACCTCATCACACAAGTAATCCTTGCAAACTTCTCTTTACTCTAACACATTCAGATGAACAGCATCGCCCAAAGTAACACCTTTATTTACCAACGGATGTGTGTCAGTCTTATTAGCATCCCTACATTAATATAACCCCCCTGCTTTGCATAAAAACCCTTGCTTAATCCTAAGGAGAAAAAAAAAAACTTGCTCAAGGATGACCAAACCCTCCTTAACAGAGAGATCCAGTATACAATTAGAAATAAAATTTAGAATCCAAATACCTCCAAAAGAGATACTATAATTGACTGAATGACATAAACTAAACTGAATCATGCCCTTTCCTGAGTTCAGGCTTTTATGGAATGATGCTATGTCCTCAAGATTTTTCAGAAATCCAATGGAACCTAAACATCCTATTGCCAAGTAACAGGTTTTCCTCCCTATGAGAATTGAGAATATTCAAAAACCTTAGATCCTAAGCACAATATGCTACAAGGCCACTGCATTTTTTTGGAAAAAGATATCTGCATCTGTGTTCTAAGGAAGAGCGACGAACACATACAGACCTCTGCCTTTGTTGGGGACCCTGTTGGCTCTCATTCCTTTTTTCCTCAATCAATTTAGGGCATTTCTTTTCTAATGACTCATTCTCATAATCATCATGCTTAATGCTTAGAAGTAATCTACTGCAGAGGTAAAAAACTTAGGCCCTGGGTAAAGGCAGACACACCTAGTTCCAATCCTAGATCCATCACTTACTAAGCTGTGTTTCCCTGTGGGATAGGTCTCCCACGCTACCTCCAAAGGCTAGTGCTAGGATTAAGTGCCAATGCATGGGCTTTGCACAGTGACTGATACACAATAATTACAGAAGCATTAACTATTATAAAAATAAGATCACGTTAAAAATCGATTTTAGAATTACAGTTTTCCAACTGAAATTCGACTTCTGGCACAGCCATACCAAAAGGGCCTGTACCTTTATCCCCAACCACCACAAGGCTTTCAAACATGGTCCACGGAGAGCATAAGAGAAAAAAAATCTAAGAGTTCAGTTTCCTTCCTGCCATATTTTATTCCCTCTCATGGGAGCATGAGGATTGTTCTCAGTGAAGTTAATATTCTCCCCACAGAGTTCCCGCTGAGCCACTACCCGCTGCTAATTAACTTCATGAGGACAAATTTTCAAGTGACTTGAGGCTTCTGCCTGCCAGATGGCATTTCCGAGATCATCATTCCTTCCTAGTAGAGTTCGGGCAGTTCCTAATGCCATTTTTGTCTAGGAATCCATATTGTAGGAGTCTCGATAGAGCTGGCAGATAATAAGTGGACATGACCCTGGGCTACCTGCTCCTTGGGGTCTTCCTGGATGGAAATCAAGGCCAGGTCAGCTACAGCTGCCTCTTCTTGCCCCAGGCCCACCCCAACCCCCAGGACTGCGGCTCTATGGGGAAGAACAAGGAGGAAGTGAGCCAGACACACAAACAGAGCTGCAAGTCAACCCATCAAGCATGCCATTCAAGGCCTATCGCAGGAATGAATGTAAGATTTGGAAATACCAAACCAAAAACATGGAAAAAAAAGACTCAAAAGCAAAAGCCACAAAATACTCAGAACAGTAAAGATAACCTCACCTACTGAGAGCTTCTAACATCTAAATGCTCAACCATGGGATTAAAAAATAAGTAAAAGATCCCTGCCAAGGAGTTCATGTCCTGGGAAGAAGAAAAGACGAATTACGGTGCACGGTGGCCAGGTTGATGGCCCAGCTCTAACATGACATCAGAAGGAAAAACAGCAAAATACGTGTCACTAAGAATGACCTCTGAAAGCATCTCATGCACAATTTGAACACCTCTTCTAGCTGAACACTGTATGCAAACAACAAGCATAGCTGGATGCCCCAAGCATGAAACGGGCAGGCACATGCTCCTTAGCAGAGTCACCAGTTTAATCCAATTTAGACCCAAAAAGGTTAAGTGACTTGGCCAAGGTCCCAAAGCTAATGAAAATTCAGCAGAGTTTGAATTCAAACCCATATATCCAGGACTCCAAACCTCTACTCATCCAGTCAACCACTAAGGCCACCTGGGTGGAAGGCAGAGTTTGCATTCGATCTTCTCCCATGACCTAGCCAGCTGTTCAATTTCATCATCAATAAAGGAAGCATCTGAGGGGCACCTGGGGGGCTCAGTTGTTAAGTGTCTGCCTTCGGCCCAGGTCATGGTTCCCAGGGCCCTGGGATCAAGCCCCACATCGGGCTCTCTGCTTGGCGGGGAGTCAGCTTCTCCCTCTCCCATTCCCCCTGCTTGTGTTCCCTGTCTCTTTCTGTCAAATAAACAAAATCTTTAAAAAAAAAAACCAAAGGAGGCATCTGAGGAAAGTATGTGTTAATATTTCTCAATTCTTAAAAACATACGTTAGCATAATCTCTCCTTAACACCAAATATCTGTACTCTGTTTCCAACTGTTTTATTCTACTGAACATACAGTAAATGGCTGATACACATACAGCCTGTCCTCATGAAGTTAATTAGCATTCCCAGCTAGCCGCTCCCTCCTTTACGCTTCCGTGGCCCTGAGTATATTCTTCTTTTCTAAGACTCATCACAGTGTGACTGGTAGTTTGACAGGAAGACAGAGCACGTCCCCGTACCCATCCCTGGATCCCAGTATCAGCTAACAAGTATCTGTTGCATGACTGACTGTCTTAGTATCTCCAACCCAACAGCGCATTTCAGAGGGTGAGGACCACATCTCCATTATCTTTAAGTTTCTGGAAACACTGTGGCACACAAGAAACGTTTGTTCAAATTAGTGGGGAGGCAAGGCGTTAGAATGGTTAAGTTTAAAACTGATTTCCTCCCTCTCTGACAATATAACCCCATCCACAGCCTGGCAGCCTGTTGGACAGGTATGATTTTACTGTATATACCTACACCTTTTACATTTTTTATTTAGGTCATCTGTTTTGTTGAAAATTACTTGCCAACTTATAATGATCAGCTTAACTTCTTTAGGCTAAGGGGATTTTCTACTCTTTCTGTTTTAACCATTCCACATTTCTGCTGTTTGTATTTAGATAATGGCAGTTCCTTTGTGCTGTGTTCCAGAAGTCTGAGAATTTTTAGAACTCAAAACAAGTTTTCCCATAGAAAAGTCAGAAAACAAAAAGCTGACATGAAGGGCGCTGAGGTTCCCACGCCCGTCCACAAAGGCTTGTTTTGCACATCTGAGCAGCACAGAGCCCAGCCCCACTGTGCTGCCTTCTCCAGGGAAAAGGCCTTCCTAATTCCAGGAGGATGCCCAAAACACCTTTCTACTCCCCTTCCTCTTCTCCAGGCTACACCCAACCTCCCACCCCCACCCTTTCTGCCCCACCCCCATTCCACTCCCCCTGGGGCCCGGGATCGAGGTAAAGCCCAGCACAGATGTGCAGGCTCGAGAATTAGGTCAGGGACTCTGCCGCAGACAGACGAGGACACGGGGCTACGATAATGGCAGCCCTGAGACGCAGCTCAGGGGCTCTCTCCAGGAGGCAGGGGCTGGGGCCCTGAAGCAAGAGCTTCAGGAGACGACAGGGAAAGGGTCTGCTGTCGTGCAGGAGTCATAGTATCATTCATCCATTTGCTCATTCATTCAACAGATGCTTCGTGAGAACTCGTAGGTACCGCACTGTATTCCGAAGACAACAGACATGACATGGCTGCTGTTTTGGCCCCCAAGGAACATCTGACTATATCTGGAAACGTTCACAGTTGTCACAGCTTGGGGGGGGGGAGGGGAGGAGGCGCTACTCGCACCTAGTGGGCGGAGGCCGGGGACGCCCCTCACCATCCTACAGTGCACAGGACAGCCCCCACATCAAAGAATGATCCAGCCCAAGACGTCAACAGTGCTGGGGCTGAGAAAGCCTGCTTTAAGTAATTTATGACAGCTCTTCTTGAGAAAATTATCACAATTTAGAATAATTTTTAATGTAACAGAATTATATTTTGATCTAATTCTATTATAGGGAAATCCATATTGATATGGGAATAAAGAGGAACACTTACTTGTGCATGTTCTCCACTCCTATTATGATCATGATACAGTAGGAAATTCCACTTTGTACAAGAAAATGTAAGGCATACCTATAAAAAGTAAGAGGACTGTTAGAAGAGGGGTACCCATGCACAGACATCAAGACGAGACCACTGAGGCTACAAAGTGCTTATGTATCACACACAACATCTCCAGGTAAAAAGTAAGGAATCTAACTTCCAGAGCCTAGAATTCTGTGAACACCTTACAGGGGGTCCCATATCACAAGCCCCAGAAGAGCTGGAAAAATCAAATGAAACCTCATAAAGGCACACTCAGTGCCCTGGCATTCCCCGTCTCCTAGCTACATGGAAGCGCTGTGGGGTTATGTGGCTCAAGGATTACAGCTTTTTCCATAACTCAAGGCACAATGAGGAAAAGGAGTAATAAATCTGGATTTCAGAATAGTCCTGAGAGAACATTAGTTGTTTTCCCAAAGACCTAAAACTGTTTCTCACAAAGCAACAAAAAGTACCAAATAATAGTATTGACTGAAAACCAGGTACACCCAAATCTGTTTATTCTGAAAGCATGATGGCTCAAATCAAATGATCTAATTCTTCATTTGCAGTCATCCGTCTATAAAACATTCTGGCTGAGGTGACACAGAATTTTGTAATGTTCCAATGAGGCAATCCACCATTAAATGAGAGAACTAATTTATCCATTCATGTCACAAAATTCAGGCAAACATGATTAGGATTTCTGGTTTTAAACTCAATCCAAACTATCCCTAAGATTATGCATACATGGGCACACAGACATGAACTCACAAATTCCTTTCCCCCTTGATGGCATGAATAATTTACGAAAAAATTTTCAAACCATTGTACACAATTTAAAATATAAATAAGGATCTTAATCCGTGATTAAAATTACTTTTTAAGCTAATCATTACAGAATAACAGGCATCTCCAATGTGGGAAAGTTACTTAAACTTTTGCAATACATTTTTCCATAGAAATATTATAAATAAGAAGGAGGCTCCAAGGCAGGCCCACAGAAGAAACTTATTTAACCCATTGAACAGAGGATGTCAAGTCAGCCCATCTCTCTCTCTCTCCCTATCTAACACACACATAACACACAGGAAAACAATGTTGGCCTGGAATACTACTTTGACTAGAAAGTCATGAGAAAGCAGAAAAACATATATGAGTATAAACTGAAACAGAAGGAAGCTTTAAAAACATGATTAAAACACACCTCTCTAAATAATATCCACCTCCTATTTGTTGCCAGCATTAACAATTCACTAACAGATTTAATGGGGAAATGATGAAGAGGATTACTACATACTTTTAAGGGCTTTATTGAGAGTAGAACTCATTAAAGATACTGGTCTTAAAAAATATTTTTTTTGAGGATTCTTGGGGAAATATACTTTTCTCCTCTTGTGTGAGTAAATTTCCTTGGAACTACAACAACTCTAGAACTACAAGTTTTATTTCTCAAACTGTGCCACGGTTTCTTCTAGACTACCCTGGCACCACGGTTCAGACGATGTGCTTGGCAATCTTGTGGGGTGCAACATCGCACGTTGCTAGCCTCCTGTTGTAACAGCCTTTGTCACTGTGACCGTACAAGTTTGTCCATATGAAGCAGATCTGCGTTCACCTCTGCATCATTGACCTCTGTGACAAGCCTCGAGGTGCTTTTCCACTCATTTATGGCACCTGGTGACTTTCTTCATAATCCCCCACATGCAGCCACTCCACTTGCTCTCATTAGGAAAAGGAGCATAATAAATAACAGAGGAGCCACAAAGTATTTTTCAGGCTTAAGAGAGAATCCGTGCAGGGTGTTGACTGGGGTGTCTGGCACACAGTAAGCACTCAACTATTAAGTATTATTAGTAAAGTAGAAATTCAAGATAGGAGGTATCCTAAAGGTCTTTAATGCAACTCTCATCATTTTAGAGTTGAGGAAACTTAAGTCCTGAAGTCACATACCTGGTTAGTACCCTAAAAGACATTAAAACTCAAGTGGTTTCCTTCAGGAAACTCACCCGAAGGAAACTCACCCACTGGCTGACTCTTCAAGGGGCAGAGTGGGGCAGGACCCACAGACTGTGCATCACGCCTCTCAAGCCGCCCGAGGACTTTGAGAAGAAAGTGATCTTTTATCTCAAAACTTCAGGGTTTTTTAAGATAACACATCTTATTTTGAATTTCAAATCACACTAAACACAGGTATAAATTGTATGTTTAGCAAAAAAGAACGCAAGTTTAAAAAGGTGGAGAAATACCTCCCCGCTTGTTGAACGGATCTGTGTGGAGTGTGTGTTTTCTGGCAAGCACCATCCTGGGCACTAGGAATAAAGAGTCAACGGGACACAGTCTCTGCAGAGAGATTACAGTGTAGAGGCAAAGACACACAAATAACAGAGTATGTTAATACTGTGTGACAAACACTAAAAAAGAGATTGGATAAACAGAAAATTTCCAATCTGGACTGCCACCTGGACTTCAGTAATGACAGATGATAATAATGAAAATGGTCTTGACCCTGGGTACTTTCCAGGTTCATAGTGAGCTGGCTATGGCGCTAAGCTCCTCTCTGTAGTACAACACCTTTCAGCTCTCCCCATGATCACTGACTCCCTTTCACAGACGAGAAGGTAAAGCCAAGGGTTGGAAGTCCATGTCCAGAGAAACAGAGCTACCTGCCCAAGGTGCACCGAGCAGAATCCAAGTCTGACTCGAGAGTCCAAGCTCTATTCCACTAGCTTTTACTGTTATCAAAGATAGTTAAATAAATAATTAAAAGTATAAGCAAATTCTCAGTTAAAACAAACTTGCAGATGATGGTTAAAAAAAAAAAAAAGGCCAAGACCAAATAGAAGTAGGTAAAATGATCAATTCTATTTACAGAGTATGAACATATGTCTTCCAAAAGGGAAGTTGTCTAAATCAATACCAGAATGACTGCCTCTGAGCCTAAAAAACCAAAGTGCTAAACTGCAAATTGAAAGGATACTCTACTTCCCCTACTCATTCCAATTAGCAAAGAGTTATTTAGACCTGGTACAGAGAAGTAAAAAAAAAAAAAAAAATTCTCTTCCCAAAGAAAGGAATATAAAACGTTTCTTCTTCAAGGAAAAAAAAAAGACCAGAGAACTCTATTTTTAAAAATCCTGGTTCTCCAGAATCGAGAGCCCAGAAATGGACCCTCAACTCTATGGTCAACTTATCTTTGACAAAGCAGGAAAGAATGTCCAATGGCAAAAAGACAGTCTCTTCAACAAATGGTGTTGGGAAAATTGGACAGCCACATGCAGAAGAATGAAACTGGACCATTTCCTTACACCACACACAAAAATAGACTCCAAATGGCTGAAAGACCTAAACGTGAGACAGGAGTCCATCAAAATCCTAAAGGAGAACACAGGCAGCAACCTCTTCGACCTCAGCCGCAGCAACTTCTTCCTAGAAACATCACCAAAGGCAAGGGAAGCCAGGGCAAAAATGAACTCTTGGGATTTCATCAAGATAAAAAGCTTTTGCACAGCAAAAGAAACAGTCCACAAAACCAAAAGACAACTGACAGAATGGGAGAAAATATTTGCAAATGACATATCAGATAAAGGGCTAGTGTCCAAAATCTATAAAGAACTTATCAAACTCAACACCCAAAGAACAAATAATCCAATCAAGAAATGGGCAGAAGACATGAACAGACATTTTTCCAAAGAAGACATCCAAATGGCCAACAGACACATGAAAAAGTGCTCCACATCGCTCGGCATCAGGGAAATCCAAATCAAAACCTCAATGAGATACCACCTCACACCCGTCAGAATGGCTAGAATTAACAAGTCAGGGAATGACAGATGTTGGCGGGGATGTGGAGAAAGGGGAACCCTCCTACACTGTTGGTGGGAATGCAAGCTGGTGCAACCCCTCTGGAAAACAGTATGGAGGTTCCTCAAACAGTTGAAATTAGAGCTACCATTCGATCCGGCAATTCCACTACTGGGTATTTACCACAAAGATACAAATGTAGGGACCCGAAGGGGTACGTGCACCCCAATGTTTATAGCAGCAATGTCCACAATAGCCAAACTGAGGAAAGAGCCAAGATGTCCATCGACAGATGAATGGATAAAGAAGATGTGGTATATATACACAATGAAATATTATGTAGCCATCAAAAGGAATGAGATCTTGCCATTTGCAACGACGTGGATGGAACTGGAGGGTGTTATGCTGAGTGAAATAAGTCAATCAGAGAAAGACATGTATCATATGACCTCACTGATATGAGGAATTCTTAATCTCAGGAACAAACTGAGTGTTACTGGAGTGGTTGGGGGTGGGAGGGATGGGGTGGCTGGGTGATAGACACTGGGGAGGGTATGTGCTATGGTGAGCGCTGTGAATTGTGTAAGACTGTTGAATCACAGATCTGTACTTCTGAAACAAATAACGCAACATATTTTAAGAGAAAAGAAAAAGAAGAAGATAACAGGAGAGGAAGAATGAAGGGGAGTAAGTCAGAGGGGGAGACGAACCATGAGAGATGATGGACTCTGAAAAACAAACTGAGGGTTCTAGAGGGGAGGGGGGTAAGGGGATGGGTTAGCCTGGTGATGGGTATTAAAGAGGGCACATTCTGCATGGAGCACTGGGTGTTATGAACAAACAATGAATCATGGAACACTACATCAAAAACTAATGATGTAATATATGGTGATTAACATAACAATAAAAAATTTAAAAAAATCCTGGTTCTCACATATGATTTGAAATACTAAGGATTACGTAAGGTCAGGTTCCTCATGGCACTGTGTATAAAGCATCTGAAAAGGCTTCTCAGCAAGGAAACACCTGCTCAGTACAGAGTCCTAAGGAAAGAGCATGCTTACCTTCACAGTGCTCTGTGTTGTCCGACTCCAAAAGATACTACTTACATTTCAATTTTCTACTCTGTTTCTACTGACCACAACATGAATGGTGTCCCTGGACTTGGCCAATCTGAACTATAAGCCTTCCCCAACCCCTCTTTAAAATGTGTCCCCCAGGGGCACCTGGGTGGTTTAGTCAGTTAAACATCCAACTCTTGATTTTGGCTCAGGTCATGAACTTAGGGTCCTGGGATCAAGCCCTATCTTGGGCTTCCCGCTCAGCAAGGAGTCTGCCTGAGGATTCTCTCTCCCTCTCCCTCTGCCCCTTCCCCTGGTCACATGCACACATACGCTCTCTCAAATAAATAAATCTTTAAAAAATATATTAAAGGGGCGCCTGGGTGGCTCACTCATTAAGCGTCTGCCTTCAGCTCAGGTCATGGTCCCAGGGTCCTGGGATCTAGCCCCACATCGGGCTCCCTGCTCTGTGGGAAGCCTGCTTCTCCCTCTTTCACTCCCCCTGCTTGTGTTCCCTCTCTCACTGTGTCTCTCTCAGTCAAATAAATAAATAAATAAATAAATAAATAAATAAAATTAAAAAAAATAAAAAATAGGGCGCCTGGGTGGCTCAGTCAGTTAAGTGTCTGCCTTCAGCTCAGTCATGATCCTGGGGTCCTGGGATCAAGTCCTGTGTCGGGCTACTTGCTCAGCAGGAAGTATGCCTCTCCCTCTGCCTCTGCTCCTCCCCCCTGCTTGTGCTCTCTCACGCTCTGTCTCACTCTCTCAAATGAATAAATAAAAAAGATCTTCAAAATAAATAAGTAAAGAAGTAAAAAATAAACTGTATCCCCTAAATACTGGAGCATTTAAGGGTGAAATATGCAGACTGGGATATAATTTTAATTAATTCAGAAAAATAAGTTGGGGAATAAATAAGAATGGTGAATAAATAAGAATGGTGGAATTTTTAAAACTGTTGAAGCTGGGTAATGGGCATATAAGGGTTCATTATTCCCTGTACATCTCCATTTGAAAAGTTTCATAATAAAAAAAGTATACATATATGTACACACACACACTACCCCCTGGTATGATTTATGAGAAATTTAAATAGAATCACCTCAGAAAACTAGGAAAACTTTGATGCTACAAATCTGCTGTCATCAGAAGGAAGCCGAAAAGACGGTACATGGGAATTAAGAGATCAGCTCTAAGTCTCAGGACGAGATACCTACAACTGGCCGCGCCTATCAGAGGACTGGCCACATGGCAATATGGTAGAGGCTGAATAAATGATCCCTGATTGATTTTTTTCATTAGTTTCTAGGAAACATCTGCAATTGCCAGAGCCAAAAATTAGATTAAGAAACACCAGTATATCCCAAGCCCCACAAGAATCAAAAACAACATGCTCGCACAAACACAGAGGCGATAACAAAGTCCTGCAGATCCTACACCCCACAAGAGGAACTACTAAAGCACAGATCCAGCAAGTTCATCCTCCCCTCTCAGGGAATTTTCATCTCAAATAAGAGTCTATAGAAGAGCAAACCTACAAAGCCTTATCTGTGAGCGTGTTAATAGTACAGCAAATGACCGAGCAGCATAAGCTCTCACTTAAAAAGGAAAATTCAGAAGAAATCACAAAGAAGCCCTTCCACTGAGTCTCTGCTGCTTTGCCAAGACTGTGTGCTCTTCTCCTGATTTGCTTCTGTCACCCAACCAGTCACCTGTAACAAACAGGAAGGAGGGTATTTCTATATTTAGAGCTCGCCGGGAAGCCCTGCAATTAAGAAGGGAGCTACCTGAAGGGAACACACACACCTGAAGGGTCATAAATAAAGGCTATCTAACATAAAGAATTCTTCCCCACCAAAAACAAAAAAACCTCTTTTTACTAATGGCAGCATCTAAAAAATGGTAATAGAGTTCTATCACTGGGCTGTACCCAAATGCATGGTAAGAAAATACTACTTTAAGTGGCTTATTTGTCTTGGCATAAAAGATGTGCAAAATAGGTGAAGAGAACTACTCAGGACAGAAGGAAATGTTTGTATGTCTTTTTTCGTCATCTGTCCTATTTCATACATTATAAATAGTAAATTGCCCTCTGAGCCCAAACTGAAGAGACAGGGCCCATTCTCCACACTTGATTTTTTCTATTAAAAATAAAAATATAAAACTTTACACGTAATAGATAAGAACAAAACCCACATAATGTATCTTTGTACACACTCAATCACAAAGATGTCCAAAGTCTTCATTTAAATATAATTAAAATAATTACTTACCATCCAAAGCAAAAAAGTGCAAGATAAAGGCCCAAAAGGGTAGCAACGACATGTCTTATAAAAGAGCTAGTTTTGCTTGAACGTAGATAAGTTCGAAACCAAATGGCTGCTAGCAAGGCAAAGAGTTGGCACACTACAAAGTTGACCTGTAAAGAAAAATTAAAATTCCGTATTAGCAACACAGACTTGACTCTTTCATTTAATGTCACATTTAAATTCTCAGGACAAAACCCACCAAAGCTATATAAAATTAAGATCTTCCAAGTTTACAAGAGAAACAAAAACAAAAGCAAAAATTGGGGCCTTGGCAGGGATGACAGCTCCGGGTTCTAAGAGACGGGCGGGTGCACGCAGCCTGTACTACAGGGCCAGGCGGCACCCAGCGTGGAAAGGCCTGGAGGGGCAGCTGGAAGAACCTGCAGGACATGGGGATGCAGACACAGAAACAGCACAGGGTACCCTGTGGTTTAAGGGAAAGAAAAAAACATGTCTTAATGACACAGGCATCCCTCTATTAGAAAAGAACGGCTCTGAGCTTCTCCAAAAGTCCCCTGGGTCAAGATCTGGTCAGGATCCCCGAAGGTCTGGTGGAATGCATCCTCCTCCACGTGGAGTTCGCGGCCACTCCTGGCAGAGGGCGCCAAGGCACAGCGGCGGGTCTAGAACCACCACTTAGGACTGGTGGGGACCAGCTGCCTCCTCAGCTCTGGGGGATCTGGAGGACTGATGCAGGAGGCGAATGGACGAATGGCAAGAGCGGAAGGGGCCTTCAGAAAGCAATGAGGAGACACATTGACTCTCAAGTCCACCATGTCCGTTTTTAATTTTCTTCGTAACTCGCAGACACACTGCTCTTAACTGTGGGAATGAGGTGCAGGCTGACATCAGCGCGGCTGCTCTTCTCTCCCCTAATACTTCTGCCCTGGCAAAACGGGGCACAGTAGGCTAAGAAGAAGAATCTCTTTGGTACTTAAAGACAAGAAAAATCTCCATTTCTTTCCTATGAAATATTTTCTCATAGGCTATTAAGGAAAATAGCTCTTAAAATCTAAATACAAGAAAAAAATCCATTTGACATGAGGAGCTTGCAAAAAAACACAAAATAACAAAATCACTGTTTCAGGCACCTCAATTATGAACAAATCACACTATCTACATGTAGATGCTGCCATAAATCCATAGAGACATTTCTGCCTAAAGACACACACAGTTATGTGCTTTTTCTTGCATTACAAGGAGAAAAACAGTTGAACATTGTTGTACTTTGTCTAAGGGACCATTGTTCTTTGAAACAGTCAGACTCAATACACGCAAATTGTCATTCCAACAGGTTCTAAGCACTTTTTCCCTCCTAAAGGGTCCTAACAATATTTTCTTAAACTAAAAGTAAATACATCGGAAAAATAAATATTTTCGATACAAATACTACTCACACCTGCAAAGCTTCATCCAGTTTAAAAACTTCATTTCAAACATCCTCGAGTTCTTCAAAAATGTATAGAGCCTCTACTATGGGCAAACCATTAGGAAACCAAAAAATGCACAAGTCCCAGACCTAGCCCTGGATAACTTTAGAATCTAATGAAAAAAGAAAACAGGTACACAAATAGCTTCAACTCAACTATTAAACGTCTTTTTAAAGGTTCTATGAGAAAGTGTTTTTAAGAACACCGCACCAAAGGAAAGCGCACAGAGGGATGAATGTCTCAAGGCAGGTGACAGGATTTCCCAATCACAGCTGATACCCACAACCGTCTGAGGAGTTTCTCCCTGTCTCCCTCCTTCTCTCTCTCCTCCCTTTCTCTTTTCATTAGTGTCTAATATAAAACAAAGTGTGATAATTATCACAGAAGCATTCTTGGGCCACTGACATACAAAATATTGTATTTTTGCAAATACCCATTTCAACATTGTCATCTTACAGATAAAGAAAATGAGATCAGGTCTTACTCCAGACACTGAATCAAAATCTTAGGGGGTAAACCCAAAAGTCGATATAAAAAACAAAGAAGAAAAAACACCCCACAGGTCCTTATAATCCTCGACGTGTAAAAGCCAATAGTGTTGGAAAATTAGGGAAAGGGCATTTTAAACAAACACATGACAAAAACAAACAAACAAAAATAATGTGAAGGAACCACTGAGAAATTAAAGTGCAAAGGAGCACAATGTGGACTCCTGGGGCGGGGTGGGGGTCAGAATGGGAGGTGGATTTGGAAAGTGACGGCTCTGAGTGTCATGCTGAGGAGTTTACAGCCGAGCCCTTAAGAACTGAAAAACCACTGGAAATTTTTTAAAATAACAAAGTGATATGGTCCATCCTCTGCTTCTGCAAAGGCAGGAGCGGAACAAGGACAGGAGGCTGCTTTATCAGCCTCCCTGAGAAAGGAGCCCGCAGTGGCAGGGGCAGAGAGGAGGGGACCAATTCAAAGGATGCTCAGGCCGGAGGGCGGTCAGGTCTGGTCACTAGAGGAAGGGATGAGTGAATGTGAAGGGCAACAGGTCGTTAACAAATGATAACATGGTGAAAAAGGACAATGTGGGGGGGATATCCAGAGCAGAAAGCCACATTTTATAGATAAGGAAACTACGTCTTAATGTTTAGGTGACCTGTCTAAAATAAATAGCTTAAGAATAATTCACAAATTATCCACTAATGGCCAGGATAACTGTGCAGGAGATATAAAGATGCACAAAATGTGGTCCTGCTCCAAAAAAACCAAGAGTAAGTCACAGACACAGAACCAGAGTACAGTTTAAGCGCTAAGGCTCAGACCCCAGGAGAAGCCGGAGGAGGGGCACTCCATCCCCCAGACCTGGGGAAGCATCCCCACGGCAGAGCCAGTGTCTGAGCCTTGTGTCTGGGCTAGGGAGGGTAAGGAATTGGATGGTCAGACAACGGCAGCAACTCTAGGAGGAGGGAGTAGCAGAATTCGTATCCAGAAAAGAAGCTATAGGACACCCAGACGCAGAAGTCCACACTACTACCTTACATAGAAAAAACTAGAATACACATACACACCCAAGTGTTCAAATAACTGTCCTGAAAGGTCTTAAAGGTAAAACTTGGCCAAACTGAAACCATATCTCAGTCATTCTTTCATGGGTGGGGTAGGGCTGGGGAGGCCAATGATTACAGAGAGGGAGAGAGCAAGAAAGAAGGAACACACCTATGCTATCTGGAGATACATCATGTCCTGGGTACTTGGCACTGGTTATCTCATTTAATCCCCAGAACAAAGTGCCATTTCCTCATTTTACTCAGCCAACTCCAGGTCACTTATAACAACAGGTATCCAAGTCCGACTGTTCTAGGCTGATTAATGGCTGCCTCTCTACTTCCAGAGAATGTCTGAAGGTCAAACTTGATTGCGACAGGCAAGACTTCTAGAAAGGATGTTATCTGCAAAACACTGCCACCCTATTAAACAGAACATCAATAACTGGTCGCGTCCCATTGCTAATAAACACAATAAAAAAAGATCCTATGTGGCGTTCATGTACATTTGTTTTGACTTGTTACAGGTCAACCCTTTCTACAAGCTTTCCTTTAGATGGAAAGAAATTTAGACTAAGATGACTTAATGTTCTTTTTTCAAAGCTGTTTTGTTGAAAATATATACACATGACCTGATGTGCCTTCAAAGAAACTGCCACCAGTAATTTGGGAATGGGGGAGGGGGAGGGCAGGCAGGGTACAGGAAGGAAGGAAGAAGTAAAATTGGAAAACCTTAGCTAACTTAAGACTTACTGGTAACAGTAAAAAACGCTGCACAAAAAAGTCCTTATAAAAGCAACAGTTGTAGACATATCAGAGGATGTTCTTTAAGGAGGATGTTTTGCATGAGCTGGTGAGAGAAGTATTTTCTTCAACACCAAATGACGTGGCTTGATATCACAATTAAGTCAGTGTCTTAGGCACTCAGGTTAAAAGCCTACTACTCAGTAATTTATGACACTCCAATGTAACAGCAACAAGATTAATTATTTTTTAAGGACATTCAAAGAAATACTGAAACATTTAATATCCCAAATAAATTTGTAAGCGCATTTAGGGAGAGAAGGATCCAAGATAGTGACCTAGGAGGCTCCTGAATTCACCTCTTCCAAAGGACACACCACAACTCAGAATCCACAGAGCGATCTGTAACTATGGGAGGCGCTGCATGGTAACTACCTTACTGTGGTGATCATCTCACAATATGCTCACATACCAAATCATTATGTTGTACCCCTTAAACTCATACAATCACAGACATCACTTACATCTCAATAAAACTGGGGAGAAAAGTATTTAGGTAGTTTAAAAGCTATTTCAAAGATTAAATAATGGGAATAGGGTAAAGGACTCTTCTTCTGGAAAGACTAAAATCACACCCCATTTCGTCAGCTCTGCTGCTAACATCTTCCTGCATTCTTACTGTGGGCCAGGGGTGAGTAGGCTCCTCTCAGGTCTCCACCTGACCAGCGGTTGCTTGCAGTGCCCTTGAAATCCATGGCCAGGGCGTGCTCAGGCCCCACTTCCATGGGCTCCTCCCCGTGAGTGGGTGTGGCAGGAAAAGAAGGTAGGCCCGTTTCTAGGACACTGGAGACTGGCTTTGCGGACCCCATCCACAGGACTCAGACCTGTAGGTGGCTGGCTCTACCACCTTCTTCCAGGCCCTTCCGGCTTTCTGTCCCAAATACTTCCCCAGGTCGATCGCATCGAACTGCTCCTCGGGGACCCAAACTAACACAACCATTCTAAGCCCTTTACAATTATCAACTTAATCCTCACACAAACCCTCTGAGTTGTGCTCTACTCTCTGTTTTAGAGATGAAGAAACCAAGAAACCAATGTACTGCCTCCTACACTTAAAAACAAATTCCAGATAAATTAACAGTCCATACTCAACTGTGGCGGTCATTCATGCTATTCACCTACCGCAACTTCTCCTCTCCTTGGGCAGAGGAAGAATGAATTTCCTGACTCCCTGCCATGATGAGCCTTGGCCAGTGAGCTGTGAGCAGAGTGATGTGTGTCACCCCTTAATTACCAGAACCAGAAGCTTCAGACTTCAGAGTTGTCTTCCCATCTGCAATGTTCCAGAAACGACGAGCAAAGTCGCCCTGCCAACTTGTAATCAGACAAGTAGCAAGACAGAC